ACAGCTAAAGGCTAACACATCGACATGATAATTGAGTCCTAGACTCCAGTTGAGAGGTGTATGAGTTATATACTTTAAAATTATTAAAAGTTTTATTATATTTAAATAAAACATTTCTCCCCTAAACCTTAAAACATATTTCACTTTTCACACTTCATTTCAGATTCATTTTGTGCCAACTTCCAGTCTAATGCAGATAAAAATACATGAGTTATTGGTATGCTCCTTAAAACTAGTTGTGAAGAGTGGAAATTCTGAAAAGTCCTCATTACAGATGCCAGTGGAATGAAGTGTCTTTACCTCCAGCAAGTGCTGATGTGCAGATTTAAGACTATCTGAGAAATCAGTAAAGTTGCCCAGGAGAGTTTTATCATATTATTCATTGAACTCTGTCCATGATGCAGTAATTGCTTCTGGTACCATTTTTCTTTTCCTTACACAGGTTATTATTTATCTTTATGCCATGTGAAAAAGAGAAAGAGAATTTAAAAGAGAGTCATAACTTGATATAAAACTATCTTTTGACACAGTGTAACTGGAGATGGGAATCTAAGGTAGAAAATGGTGTCTTACTTATCAGAATTAAATAAGAGGACAGTAACACTTGATATTATAGAGATACATAAATACTGAAAGAAGCAGTCAGTCCTGCATTTTCTTCTAGTGATGGACAAATCTGTTTCTTTCAGACTTTAATATTTCAAGGATTAGCATATTTTCTATTATAGATATTTTCTTACTAGCTTGTAGATGAAGAAAATCAAACTAATGAGTATAATGACTACTTGAACAATTTCAGCTAATGTGATTTAAATAGTAAACATTTAAAAATAATATTTGCTACATTTTTGTTCTGTGCACAATTATATCCTCCCTGTATCTTACTCATTCTTAAGTAATTATTAATTTTATCTTATTTTTCTAATGTTAAATCACATGGAATGGGGCTGGGAAGGTGGCTCGGTGGTAGAGTGCTTGCCTTGCATGCATGAGGCCCTGGGTTCGATTCCTCAGCACCACATAAGCAGAAAAAGCCAGAAGTGGCACTGTGGCTCAAGTGGTGGAGTGCTAGCCTTGAGCTGAAGAGCTGAGGGACAGCATCCAGGCCTAGAATTCAGGTCCCACAACTGGAAAAAAAAATCACACAAAGTGCAAACTCCACCATGAGTATTTCAGAACAGCTATTTAAATAGAACAATGATTTAATCAACAAATTTAAAAAATCAATACTCATAATGTTATCTGAATCCAATGCACTTGACCTGCTACCTTTTTAAATTCTGAAACTTTATTTAGTTAATATGATATATCACTATTTAGAGAAGATACATTCTTATGTAGAAAATAAATTTTCCAGGTGATGTATATATTTATTTTTTCTTTAATGTTATACAGTCTAATCAGAAATACCATCTGTGTGTGTGTGTGTGTGTGTGTGTGTGTGTGTATATATATATATATATATATATATATGCCCCTGGACTTATATATGTATATAATATATACATACAGTAATAAGGCAATATGCTATGTATTTATTATGGAATGTGATATGGACAATTGTTCACTGGCAAAAGGCTTGTAAATGATGACTGAAAGTGTTTTGACTCTGGAATCATGTTGTAATAGTAAGTGCCCCAGCACTATGGTTACCTGTGTTGTATACTGAGTGGAAGGAGGGAGAATTGACTGGAGGTAAAAATAACTAAATATTAAAATAGCACCTTTCCTTTCCTTTTTTCTTCCTAAAATAGAACAAGTAATATTATAATATTACTGATTTCACATTATTATAGGGAATATATAAATTAATTAAAGCAAAGCACATATAACATAGCCTGGCTCATCCTGACTGCATGTAAAATATTAGACAATGCTAGCACTTATAGTACATGGAGTTTAACAACTTATCTGTCTTTGTGCCTTTTAATTAAGAAAATGAAATTTATCTTTTTTTATTTGAAGATATTAAACTTAATAGAGCCTAAGAATGAAGTCCTAAGTAGTTAATCTACAACCAGTATGCTTCCTTTGATTGCCATTCTACTAGCCCAGAATTCTCAGGCTCTTCCTTTTTGCACAGGACTTTTCTCAAACTTTAGTCCTTTGGACATGGGATAGAGACTTGAAGATATGTTACAATTTGTTTAAAAAAACATCAAGTTAGGGCATCTGTATTTAATAGAGGCACTTACTTGTCATAATGTTTTTCCTTCACGTTCAGGTTTTCTATTGACCAGAGAATCTATTGCCACTCAATTCACTTCCCCAAATCATTTTATCTGTAAGCTTTCAGGAAACATAACGAATTATATTGCCAGATAAATCACTCAAGCCTAGTTCAGCATTGTAAATTAGCATTTATTCCCATTACAGTAGATGTTATGGTGAAATTATGCAGAAGTGAGTGAGTACAAGAAAGAGATCCTTGAATACACACACACACACACACACACACACACACACACACACACACACACACTCAGTTCAAAGGGCTGCTTAACCAGAGTCTTTCACTTTTAGGACAAGGAGGGCATTGTGTGATTTGCAGAAATGCATTCTCTAATGTAGAGGACTAAGAGGCGTGGAAAGGTAGTGAGGTACATGGATGTTACCCATACCTGGGGCGGAAGAACACAATTTCCATCATAAATGCATGGAATAAATTTTATATGTGATCAGATGGCACATAAAAATCAGATTGTATCTGGACCATCTCTTTAACTTATAGTGAGGCCAAATATTTCAGTAATGAATATAGTTACAGATTTTTTTATTCCTTTTTATTTATCTACAACAATCTAGCAAATGTGTTACTCTCCCTAATGATGTTATGGTGTTATAATCAATATAGAAGAGCTTGAACTTAGATTCAAGCTCCTTTGTCTCTTCTCAATTGTTCATTACCTCTTTTTTAGCTATCAGACTGGGGAAATTTAAACTCTTCACATTTGAATAGTAACTGTAATATAGTCTATATAAAAGGTTGGAGCATATGAAAATGTACTTAATATCATAAATCATTAGAAATCTGCACATGTAAACAACAATGAGGCCATTTATAAGAGCCAAAATCCAGACCCTTGACCATAACAAATTCTAATGATGAAGGGAGACAATAAGAACTCTTCTTCATAACTCATCGAAATGCAGAGCTACAGTCACTTTGGAAGATTGGTTCTGTCTGGAACCAAGCAATCTCTTAATGAAAGTTCCGCAGTTGAGCTCCATGGCATTTGCAAATATGAACTGTGAATTTATATCCACACAAAACCCAGAACATAGATGTTTCTAGCAGTTTCGTTTATAACTACCAAAACTTGGAAGGTACCAACATTTTCTCTAGTAGATGAAGGAACAAATTAATTGTGAATGCAAACCATGTAAACTTGTTCAGCACTAACATGAAATGAACTACCAAGCCATGGACAAACATAGAGGAAAGGTCAGTGCATATTTGTACTTATTACCTTTCTTATGTAATTATAACCCCTCTGTCCAGTATTTTCACAATAAAAAACATTTTAAAAAAGCAGAAAATATTATATGATCCTATCTACAGGCAAGAGTCTAGAGGTATCCAAAAGATTAATGGTTGCCTCAAGTTAGAGAAGGAGGGAGGAGCAGACAGGGCACCAACTCAGTCTGAAACTTAGAACATGTGTACTCAGTTAAAACACAAATGTTTGTTAGCTGGGCACTAGTGGCTCACACCTTTAATCCAAGCTACTCAGGAGACTGAGTTCTGAGGATCAAGGTTCAAACCAGCCAAGGTGGAAAGTCTATGTGACTCTTATTTCCAATAAACCGCCAGAAAACCAGAAGTGGCACTGTGGCTCAAGTGGTAGAGGGCTAGCCTTGAGCTGAAGAGATTAGAGACAGTGTCCAGGCCCAAAGTGACTGACAAAAAAAAAAAATTACAAATGTTTATGTGGCATGCTTGTTAGAGTCTCATAGAGTTTTGGTTTTCACTGTTTTATTCTTCATTTTTATCATGCTCAATTCCTTCACATACTGTATATAACTTTAGTAAGGGAGCTACTGTTTTCACTTCAATGTCATTGATTTCAGAGCTTTGTATTTACTATGTCCTTATCTTGAAATATTCTCCCCCTATCTCTCAATATTTTCAAATAATTAGAGTCCTCATCTTTTAGGTTTTACTGTACATCTTACCGCATTTGAAAGTTTGTGAATTTATATTACTCAATTTTATCTTATCTTTCTGAGTACCTTGCAGTTTTTCACACATTTCTGACCAGTTTTATATTTTGGTAACACATATCTGTTTCTATTTGTTTGAGCATTTATTATCTACTTCTTTATTTATTCTATATTATGAATTTCATGGTTGAAAGGCTTCTTTTTTATTTCCTTTATGAGAGGGCTAGCTTTTGATAGGTGCTTCACAAAATAAGTTTGGATGAATATTTAAGCACTTGATATGTGTTCATTTAACTGAACTTAAAATTGTTATTATTTCTCCATTTTAACTATATAAAACAGCTGTAATTTGCATATTTTAGGACAATGAATCATTATGTACCTAGAAATTATCATTCTGATTCTTAGTAAATTTTATTTATATATCAAATGAATTATTTTTCATTCATGCCAGAGATATTATTAAAAGAGCACAACAGTAATTAATAGAATAACTCCAATTGGAATATTATATTCACTTTGAAATTGTGTATTATTTTATATCATGTATCACATAACGTATTTATTTTGGTATTAGATGGACAATATATAAACTTTTATCATCCAATTATATTGAGAGTTAAATATTTTCTCATAAAGTATGATTATTTCCCGAGTTCTTGCCTTCTTTTCTTAACATTTTAAAATATATTAAATAATTTTCTCTTAGGAGAAAATTACGCTAGCTTTTTTCCTAAATTAATGCAAATATATCAGTCTTACAAGAAAAGCTGTCATTCTGATGGTAAGTCACATGGTTAATTGATATCTCCTTGCTTCATATTCAATGTTTCCAGGAAGAACCTTATGTTCTGTTTAAGAAGTCCGACAAACCTCTCTATGGGAATGATCGATTCGAGGGCTATTGCATTGATCTCCTCAGAGAGTTGTCTACGATCCTTGGCTTTACATATGAAATCAGGCTTGTGGAGGATGGAAAATATGGAGCCCAGGATGATGCTAATGGACAATGGAATGGAATGGTTCGTGAACTAATTGATCATGTAAGTCTCTTATTATTTAATACTTTAAGCAGGTTGTTAGATTTGCTTCCTCTTTATTTATAAGAGTTCAAGTGGTATATTTCAAGTAGGTATTCTCTTCAATAATTATATTCAAAATATTTGTTATTTTCATCATTGAATCTAAGAAAACTATATACAATCTAGGAGAAACCGGTATTTGTCTTAAATTCATATAAGGGTTTAATATTTTGAAATAGTTGATTTTAATTTCCAAGTTGGGATTGATTTTACAGCAGTGTATATTTTCTTTATTTTTTTAATGGCAACTTTCTAATCCACAGAGGGGATAAGTGATGCACAGTAAATTTTATGCTAAATGTTGCATGAGCTAGAGCAAGATACCACTTAGTTTAATAGCTAATTCGTTCTATAAGAAAAAGATAGAATTAGATAACATAAAAATCAAATAAGAATATTACATTCATTGAATGTTATATAAGCCTTTTTTATTTAGTTGAAAAATTGGTCAGAAAAGCATTATCAGAACGTCTACGTTGATAGTGTCAATTCATCTCTTTGAAATAAAAAATTTATATAATGAATAACAGAACATTGATTTTCAGTTTCAGTTTCATGATTTTTGCTTGAAATTTTTCAGTAATAAAAGGTACATAATTATTACTAAGATAAGAATTCCACAAAATAACTAAAACATTTTTTTCTCAAAACTATTAAGACCAGGGCTGGGAAGGTGGCTCAGTGGTAGAGCGCTTGCCTTGCATGCATGAGGCCCTGGGTTCGATTCCTCAGCACCACATAAGCAAAAAAAGGAAAAAAGCATGAAGTGGCGCTGTGGCTCAAGTGGTTCAGCGCTAGCCTTGAGCTGAAGAGCTGAGGGACAGCGCCCAGGCCCAGAGTTCAGGCCCCATGACCGGACCCAAAAAAAAAAAAAAACTATTAAGACCACTATAAACTCCAAATATAAATTTGCACTAATAAAACATTAATTTACACAGATTTTTGAAAATACTTTATTGCTATTAATTCATTACTGCAACTAAAAAATAAGGTATTCTGATCTCTGAAATAAAGATAGAGAGAAGAGAGAAATTAGGCTTTGGTTAGAAGCAGAATAGCAACATTAAGTATGGTTTCTAAATTTCTTTATTTCTTCAGATTTTTTCTTGTAATAATTTGGAACTTACTAAATATGATAACAAGTTCTAGACATTTCAGTTTACTTCTCAGAATTTGGTTAAGTAGAACATTTATATGTCAACTTTGTAGTCCATTGGAAAATGGTAAAACATATCTGAGTGCTTACATTTGAATTTTACGTTAGTTCTATTAACGCAGCCATATAGCTGATGCTGCTTAAGCAAAAATTATTATTTATTAGTCTAGAGGTAGCAAATGGACACAGATATGTTATATGCCAAACATCAGGATTTAGACTCTGGATTTTAATTATAATTACTTTCTGCCTTCTGCATTTGTTTTACTCTCTTCAGCATGTGTCTCTCAAGGGGTGGCAAAAAGAGTTGCCACTAAGGAACTCTAGATTAACCATGCAAGCAGAAATATAGCAACTTTAATAATTTCATGTTAGAGCCCAAGAAAATCTTATCTCATCTGATTTTAGTAGTTAAGAATATACCTACCACCAGTGACAATTTCAAAATAAAAGTCATAAACTATATTGTAGAATGAATCCCAAACAAATCTAGTTCAGAGGAAAGTAGTCTCATTGGATTATTTGGAGCAAATACTTAAGCAAAATCCTAGATTATATCCAGTAAAGCAATATAGATTTTGAGTTAGGAGCCTGTTTTATTTTTTTATGAGTAAATTAAAGTTTTTATTCTTGAATAAAGTGGAGTGAAGCCTGCAAAAAGAAATTCAATGTATGGAACTCTGAATAGACAGTTTATGGGAAAATTAGGCTGAGATTATTTACACTAGTACATCTAAGTCCATCTTATATTTTTCCTTGTAAATATCTCCAAAGTACCCAAAAGGCAATGTGACCCAATCATTTCTCTCTTGTACCTTTTTCCTCCTTCAGAGTCAGCAATTCAATAGGGGCTCCAAACTAAAATTTAGTTCTCATATATAGTTAGTTCTCACTACCCCATGGTTTAGCATGCTTCTTAAAGAACACTGAAACGTGCCCAATTCTCTCCATACTCACTGACACTGGATAATATTTCCATATGATCATGTTTTCCTTCAAATTTATTATTATCCATATATTGTTTAGTGAGAGTTATACTTTTGTGTTCAGTCTCCCAACACAAAAATTGTGTAGGAGTGGAGTCAACAGGACTCCTGAGCTGCAGATCCAAAAACCTGGAAAGGAAACACAAAGTCCTCATTATCTATTGATGAGACACTGCCTCAGACCAGGCTTTTATCCTACATGGAATGCCACAGTTCCTAGTAATGATACACGTGGGAAGCCAAGTCTCCCCTCCTGTGAAATCTTCTCTATTCTCAGTGTTGAATTACTGCATTTCTGATACTACCAGCATCGGGTTTCTGCATCATCCTTTAAAATTGTTCTGTCTAGTGGTTCTCAGAATACGTCTCACATAGCTGCAGAATGGGCCTCATTTACAAACTAATGAGATATGCACAATTTTTGGTCTCTACCCTTAGATCTACTGATCTACTACCTTAGTTTTTCTTTCTTGTTTCAAAATAAAATCAAAGTGTAAGCATACTTACAATGCAAAACCAAGCAAAAACTTAGTTCAGACATTGAGTAAACATGAAATGTGCAAACTATTCACAATGCAGACTTATTTTTCTGTAGTCTCATTTCTGTGTAAACAAATTTAATATTCACTTTCATTTCATATATCAAAGTACACATCTAAGACAGAGCTTTGAAGGAGATATATTCATTGGACGCTTTTTTAAATTAATTTTGTATTAGTAACATACTTCCTTTCCACATAGTGACAAAGAAGTTCAACATAAAGCAGTCAAGAGTGGGCACACCTATAACCTTAGCAGTAAGGAAGATTAGGTTGTAAGTCCACACATCAAAGCTGGCCTGAGCAATTGGATGACCCCATCTGCAAGACCAACAAAAGCATAACTGGACTGGTGACATCATTCAGTGTTACACTGTTTGCCTAGCAAGTATGAGGCCCTCAGTTTGAGCCTCAGTGTTATACATACACACACACACACACACACACACACACACACACACACACACACACACACACACACACACACACACACACACACACACAATATCCAACTGGGGAAGCTTTTCTTTAGGATATTTGGAAAAATTTGGAGAATTTTTTGATTGTCAAAGATTATGCTCTATGCTCCTAAACATCTACTGATACCATCTAGAAGCACAGATTCATTTTCTCCACCTATTAGAGAATTAAAAGGCAGGAAAATGTTTAAGGTAAATAGGATAAATTTATTTGAAAGCAAAAGTAAAGCTGTGAAGGAAAGTAGAGGCAGATGACACCAGAGAGAAGCCCCAAAAAAAGAGTCCAATGGAGTCTTATTGGAGCATGGTATATGATCTTACTGGATATTATATATATATATATATATATATATATATACACACACACACACACACACACACACACACACACACATATATGTATACACTGATGGCTTGGTGACCTATGCATGTACCATCCTGGCACTTGAGTTAGGTCCATATGTATCATATTTATTGGGAATTTTAATACAGTGTAAGATTTGATTATACATCTATGTATATGTATATATATGTAAATATATATGTACAAGTATATGTATATGTATAAATATATATGTATAAATATATGTATATAAATATATGTAAACATATGTGTATATATGTATATTTGTATGTATATTTGTGTCATATATATATGTATATATATATATATATATATATATATACATATATATATGACTCCTCCCATATATCCTTCCTTGGCCTTTATACTGATTGCTTGGTGGCCTATGCATGTACCATCCTGGCACTTTTTTCTTGTTGAATGTTCACCCAGGGAATTATGAGAAAGTAATCTAACGGGAGTCCAAGGCACTATACCCGCATCATGATAGGCCACACTATCAGTCACTTGGTGTAACTTCCGGGTTTTTTTCCTACATAATAGTTCCTCTTTCTTTCCCTCATCACCATTCCACAAGACAACCCCTTACATAAAAGAAGTATCTGTTCCAGTGTTAATTGTACTGTAGTTGATATACTCTCCTCTAGACATATCTGAATCTTCTCATCCTTTTTAGAAAGAAAGAGATCCTGTTCCTAAGTCTCAACAAAATTCATGCAGTGATAATAGTGATAGAGATTAAGTCAATTTCTCAAGCACGAACAAGTGCCCACCTCAGAACTAATCCACAAGGCTGAAATTAGGAGTTAGTAGATGGATTGTACCATCATGAATCATTTGTGCATACCTGGAAATGTGTGATTGAGTCAGGTCCATATGCATCATATTTATTAGGAATTTTAATACAGTGTAAGATTTGATTACATAAAAGGTTAAACAGGATTTATTTTCCTTGTTTAAATTCTTCAAAATGTGACCCAGCTTGTCACAACTTTAATTTTTAGAAAATAATAATGTTAGTGATGTTTTTGAAAGGTTAATGATATTTTGTTCTACTAGAGTGGAAGTTAAGAAAACATTTATATTCTTTCCCTTTATAGATGACATACCTTAAAAATATTTTAAATATAGGAGGTCCTTCCATCATGCTCAGATTTTGAGCTTTTCTTATGTCTGGGGTGACCTGATTCATTCTAATTTGAAATTTGTTGCTCATCTGTAAAAAAACTGATCATTTTCATGAGCCATGGGACTGACCTGACTCGAAATTAGGATACCATTTTCTCTTCTTAATTTACTGCCTCCATAGTTGTATGGTTATAGTACACTTTCTATCATCTATCTGCTTCAAATATATAAAAAAATAGCAGGGAGACATAAATAATATGAATACTGGAAACGTTCAGCATACAACGGTATTTATTGAACAAATGGCAT